AGAGAGAGAGAGAGAGAGAGAGAGAGAGAGAGAGAGAGAGAGAGACGAGAGTAAGCGACAGAAAGAAAAAATGGAAATGGGGAGACAGAGATAAAGAAAGACAGTGATAGGTGGGAGATAAAGAGAGACAGTGATAGGTGGGAGAGAAAGAAGCGAAGAAAGGTAGAAGGGGAATAGAAGAGTGGGTTGGAGAGTGCGAAAGAGAGGAATATGCACTGCTTATGCTATGGCTTACCCTAATGAGTATGCTGTCGCCCACAGTGCTGCTAATAAGCCATATGTAGATAGATTATCCTCAAGCCCAGCAATCCTACAATATACAGACATATTGCTTACTAACCAAAACAAATTCAACTCAAAGGAAAAAAATCTTCCTGGCGACATTCCGTACAATATGTATTGTAAAATTCAATCCTGGAATTAAAAAAAGATTTAAACAGAAAAAAAACTAGATTAAATTGAAAATGAAAACATGAACGATTTAAAAGTAGCAATTTTTCACAAAAATTAACCAGCCACTACCTATTTGTTTGATATGAAAGTTGTAATATCACAATGCATTTCATATGCATGTTTGCCAATAAATGGTTATAACTTGCTTTTGCAAAAGCACACAAGCACAAGCACACGTAAGAAATTAGAAAACTGAACTATGGGTAGGATCAAGAGCGTATTAAGAAGGTATAATGCTTTTTAATCATTAGGGTTAATTTATTAAGAAGGAATCCTTCTTAATACGCTCTTGGTAGGATGAATTCCCAAGAAATATCACCTACAACTGAGGAGCAGGTGATGACTTGGTAATGTGTAACATTGATTGAAATATATAACTACATGTAAAGATAACTATAATAAGAGTTGAGATGGTCTAGCTGTCATAAATTGCTTGTCATTGTATAAATTAACGACCCGTATTTCAACTTACTCTGCTGCATCCAGTATATTCTCAAACGTAGGTATAAGTGCAAGGCTGTTAGCCATACCAAGAACTGCTAAAGATGCTATCACTAGCCACAAGGTACTGCAAAAAACAACAACAGTGACATATAACAGAATTTATATATGCTAAACAGTTTCTTCAATGCCACCTACCTTGTAGCATCATGTATCACATCAGCAGAATATGTCTTCATTCACTCCCGATCACAATTAAGTATTCGACTTTAGAAATACCCGCACTTTCTTTCAAAAAATTATGTAACGGGTAATTTTTGTTCCGTATGCCGAGGTTAGCGGCTATAATTTACAAAATATGTAATGCGCGATATCAGTGTATATATTTTAATTATCAAAAATATGCAATGTGTCTATACACCTTATTGCAACGGTGACTGCTCACTAGTCCGACGGCCCAATAGTCCGAAAGCCCACTAGTCCGAAAACCCACTAGTCCGAAAGCCCACTAGTCCGAAAACCCACTAGTCCAAAAACCCACAGGGGATGGGGTATCGATCTATAGTCCTAATGTTTAATCAATTAATAATTTGTAATTTTACTTTTACTTTTTTATTTTAATTTCTAATTTTAATTTTAAATTTCAATTTTATTTATTTTTTAATTGAAATTTTTTGGGGGATGTAGGGGGAGGTGTGGGTGGAAGGGGAGCTAGGTGTGTGGATGCGTGCAAAATTCTAGACTACGGTAAAACCTCGTTATACCGCCCCAGGCACCCCTCGTAATACCGCCAACCTCACTTATCTCCAGGAAAATGCCAATGTACAGATCGTTTGGATCTATTTGTACGTAATTTAGCCTCGTAATACCGCCCCTCGTCAACTGCCAACCGCCAGCATTATGTCTATGTACAATCCTATACAAGCGTATTTAGTATACGTATAATATATATATAACGTATATATATAAGTATTTAGCGGTATACTAGTAGTAGCGGTTGAGATTCTGCCCCATCATCACTTGATGCTCGGGCGTCAATTCAGACTGTATAGACCCTTCTTAAATATTATTCATGACCTGGGGTCTGTGGGGCAAATCAACCACAAATGTAAAAATATATATAACCACAAATGTCATAACATGTCAACCACAAATGTAAAAATAACCACAAATGTCATAACATGTCAACCACAAATGTAAAAATTTTGTTTAACCACAAATGTAAAAACTTTTTTTCATTGTAAGATAAGTTATTATCAGATGTATGTAAATTTAAAAAAATTAAAAATTAAAAAAAAATTATTAATTAATTAATTAAACATTAGGTATAGATCGGTACCCCATCCCCTGTGGGTTTTCGGACTAGTGGGCTTTCGGACTAGTGGGTTTTCGGACTAGTGGGTTTTCGGACTATTGGGCCGTCGGACTAGCGAGCTGTAACCTATTGCAACATCTATCCAGTCCAGGGAAGTCCAGTTTGTGGACTAAAGTAATAAATACTTTACTCCAGTAGGAAACTGATAATCCAATCCACAAGTGAAATCTCGTTTATCACGGCGTTTTATTACAGTTTTACAGTTAGCTTCTTTACAGTTTCATTGTGACTCACTCTGGCAGAAAAGGTATCAGTGGTGATGGCCCCAGAAACAATAGCGCCACCATCATGATTAGTAGACCTGCTATGATCAGACCTTTAGTATTATCCTGGAATGAAATGTTTTAGCAATTTATACACAAATACAAACAGCACGCTGTAACTTTAACAAGTAAAATATCACCATTGAAGACCCGTTCCGTTGGTTTACCATACTTTGAATACTAAACATGCAGTGTGTGTATTCCTCTTCTTGTGGTTTCTAGATACTGAGTTAAGCTGCTTTACCTCTTGTTCAGTTCCCTCGTTCCTCCCTCCTTGCCCCTATTTCTCTCACTCACTCTTTCCTATCCCTGTCCCTCGCCCATTATCTCCCAATCCCACACCCCCAATAGTTATTACCATAAAGACATACTGGTGTTTATAAGAAATGTATTGAATCTTACCATTCTATCTGCTACATACCCCCACACGGGTGAGAACAGGGCATATGATGTAGCTATAACCATGAATATTAATCCTAAATATTCTGGTCCGATATCAAACTGTAAATGAAAAATATTACATTCTAAATGATACAAGTAATAGTAGAGGAACATGGGAGCATTATTATAATACAAGTACTATAGTGATAAAAACAATTAATTGGCTTCAATTACACACGGAAATTCAATACACAGTAACATGTCTGTAACATGAAATTTCGTCACGTCAACAAATTTTTCCCCATTATTTTCTTTGCTATAATTATAGACGTACTCCAATAGTAAGTTTTCAGCTAAAACAATTAGGTAATCCCCTGATCTCCCCCATACATGATGCAATCGGGCATGGGTGCGTACATTTCCAAGGTTTTGGAGAAATGTAATTTGCCTTTTAACTCACTAAGCTAAAACAATAAGTTTGAACTGAAAGTTTCAACACAATCAGCCATCACAATACCAAATATTAATACTGAGCCTTAATCAAGCCATTTATCACTGCACTATCGTTGTTGCAAGTAGGGCAAATCAATGTTGCGATAACAAATGTCAAATATATAAACTTGCCGTTCTTCTTCTGCTTTGTCTAACCATATCGGATATGCTATAAAAACAGATTACAAGAACAGTGACTTATTCTCACAGCACACGTGACTATCACCTACTTTTCTCAGCTGTGGCTCCAGGATGGGATCAAGAAAACCCCACACAGCTGCACCGGCAGAAATGCTGATACAGACAAGCAACACAGATGGGATCTTCAACAGTTTCAACATATCACTAGGAGGTGCTGGATTACACTTTTCTGTAAGAAAAAAATTACAAACTACAGCCCATACTTCAGGTATGCAGTACAGTGATACCATTGTATATGACATAATAGGCTTACACATAAATACACATATACCAGGGTTCTCCCCAAGCCTTTACTGCATGCCAGGTTCATCATGCCTTCAAAGGTGAAGCTAATTTATGACATCCCATAAATGCTCTGACATGCCTAAATTGCCTAATCAACATGCATTAATTAATATTACATGTTTATGTTCCAATTTCGTTTGTTATTTTTCGTGTTAATTCACTGACAATAAAGTCCCCTTAAAATGACATTACAGGTTTTTTGATGTATGGGAAGAGAGTACAGCCCACTCTTAGGCACTCCCCATCCATCTAAAAACACAATGCCTTCTGAAATCCCTGGGAAGAACCCTGCATACACTGAGCCGAACACGTAAGTACACATTACATCAAATCAATTCAAAATAATTAACCCAATAATTACTTAAATATCATTATTATTATTATTATTATCATTATTATTATTATTATCATTATTATTATTATTATTATTTATTTCTTATTGCAATGCATGTTAATCAGTAGGCCTATTTGTGACAGCAGTAGCATTTCTGTATTGAACATAATGAAATGTAGATCCTAAGCCCAGCTTCTCTTTCCAGTTTCCATACTTTACAGAAAACCAGTAAAGAAGCCCACCTAAACTGAACATATATCTTAATCTTAATAAACTTATATCTATCGACCCACACATAAACACACTTTTCATGCAGTTACACAACTCGTCTCTGTCTGCCTACCATCATAAGAGGGCAAGAGCCAGGCGTTTAGAGGCCAACACACAAAGATGATGAACCCTCCGACAACAGAGAAGGGCAGGATAAACCCTCCCACTTTGTATAGAACACCACCAATCGCTGGTCCAACCATCATACCGAGGCCCACAAAAGTCTCCAGCACACCCTAAAGAATAGGAGACATTAGCAAAAGCAAATCACTACATACTGTTGCAACAATACATATCTACTGACTTGTACAAACTTGTAGATTTAAGAAATTTCACACTGAAATCCTCATTACATAGCTGAGATTGATCACAGATATTTCATCAGGGCAGATTTGTTGGCAGCAGTGTTTCACACTAAAAACAATACGTCAGTATTGATAGACATAGAAACTATAACCTGAACAACAAACAGTAAGTTATAGCTCCTACAGGCTTTTGAGATTGGCCATGTAACATTCATGGATTGGGAGTAGTACATTTTGGTAGTGATATATAGTTTTGTAATAAGCATTCAAACAAAATTAAATTTTAAAATAACATCGCAAGTGTGCATGAAGAATTCTTTACCTAGGCCACTCAGGGGAAACTCCAATAGTGACTTTCATAGACAGGTGTCTATTCAATAGATGTGTGACAACTGACAAGTCTAACTGTATATATGTTTATGCTATCATTGATCATACAGAGGATATCAGCACGACTTGCATCGATATACAGCAAGAAACATTTATTTTACCACTCACAAACACAGTCCCGATGTTGTCCGGATAGATGTCAATGATAATGGCATATGTTGCAGTAGTGAAGCCGGCAGCTCCAAGTGCTTCAAAAATTCGCACAATAAAGCAAAGCACAGTAAACTCGAAGCCATCATGTGCATAAACCAGCAAGCTGAAAATATAAATGTATGCCTTTGTCATGTATGGTAAACTCGGTGAAACAGAGATACATAGATTATCGGATGACAATTTCACCTAGAAGTAAGAATGCAAAATGGCTACTATATGGTTATTTAAAAAATGTAAAATGCTCAAATCTTTATTATAACAGTACTATAGACATCGTCTATATAGTTATGAGAAAAATTCAGAGCTCGTTTTGCAAGAAACATATATACCAATAAATATATAAATGTATAAAATATACAAAGGAAAAATGGCTGTATCGGTTTCTATATCAACAGGGCAGTAAAAATCACATAAGAAAACGTCTGCAATATAACTGAACAGAAGACGGAGAGCACACCGTATAAGTTATGTATATAAATCTATGGTTATGAGAACTAAAAGAACAAGTGCCGCGGAGCGACAGCGCTCATCTAACGTCTACTGCGGTGACTGTGGTGGAGTGGTGGGATTCTAGTAAACCCTGTTAGTCCCAAATGTGTTCACATACACGACGAAACAGTGGAAGGCACAGGGATGATATCAGGAACCTTCTCAAAGGAATGTTCGTTGGGATCGTTATAAAAGTTGCCACGAGATGGCGCGTACGTCTAAGTGTCTTCAGATTAAAGATGGAAGCTCCCATCGTACGTAGTAGTAACAACTATTTGCAAGACAGAATAGGTAAGCACTCATCCATTTACCTACGCAAGCCTACAGACTGAAATAGAGAGCTGCCACCTGTAACTAATTAACGCAGGCAAAAACTACACAGTACCACCACCACATGCACTGGCAGTGGCATACGTTACATGTAACACACTGACAGTACAGAATGCAATAGAAATTATACGATTTAAGGAGCATAAACCTTCTTCAACCAAATTTAGCTTTTGAAATTTCAGTGTGACATTGCAGCCTCATACATCCAGGCATGTATAGATTCTACTAGCAAACCCGGCAGTCAAATTCTTTCTAACAGTAAACAAATTTATCCATGTTTAACCCGCCTCTTGAGGGTCAAAAGGTTATCCGACACTTACTCTTTGCATGTCAGCAGAAAGTACATTTCATGGTCCTTTCAATAAAGCCATAAAAATGCTAGGTCACCTCTGAAACAAAAAAGTTTTTCAATTGCTCCGTCAGACCATGTTCTCAGAAAATGTTTAAAATCTGCTCTGTGCCCATTGACCTTTGACCTGTGACCTCCAATTTCAGCACAGTGATGGCTTTTCCTACCATGATGCTATACACTGACTATCACGAGCCTAGGTCGAGCCGTTTAGATTTGTGCCGCAATTCTGCATTTCCTCCCTATACCTTGAGTTAAGGAGGGAATGTTCCCCCTTCTTTTACACCTCTTGACCTTTGAACTTTGACCCCCAGCTTCAACATCCCATCTCGTTTTGACGATCCCCCCCGACGTCCCGAATATCGTGACCGTACGTCAAGCGGTTAAGATTTGTGCCCAACTGTTGACGCACGGCCGGACGGACGGACGCACGGACGCACGCTCATGCGATTCTACAAGCTGCATCTGACTATGTCAGATGAGCTAAAAACAGTATTCTGATGCAGAAGCAGTACTAGTGGTGGCCAGACCACAACACTATACATATACAGCATGTTAGTAGCATTTGTTTGGGGACAATTTTTAAGTGAGATACTTAAGCTGGGTTTACACTATCAACGTTTTGCTGAAAAGTTGACGAGTTCATCAGCTTTACAACTAATCGACCAAAAGTCAGCAGTGTACACGTAAAATTTGAGTGCTCAGCAAGCTGATAGGAGCTAGTTAAGAAATTAGAACTATGTTCTATTTTCTCTACTTTTGGTTAGCGAGTTGATCAAGTTTTTGCCACTCAGCCACTCTGATAACAGCTCTCCACCCTGGGGGAGAGCACGCTTTTGCTATTGGCGCCACACTGGCGCGAATTAATACATGCAAACATGTGTACCCTTGGCACCCCGCATGTCACTGTGGGTCAAATGTTGAAACGTTTGCCGACTCGCGGTCGATAACACAAAAACTTTGAACATCTAATAGAAAGGTTGACAGAACGTTGAAAAACTTATCAATGCGGCAACTTTTCCATAGTGTAAACCCAGCTTTAGAGAAAGAAAGAAAGAGAAGGAGAGAGATGAAAAGGAAGATGGCGGAGAGGAAGATGGTGGAGAGGAAGATGGTGGAGAGTAAGATGGTAAAGTGACTGAAACAACAACACAGAATAGCATAAAAAGGAACGATGGAAAACCCGAGACAAGACATAGTGGGACAGGGAATTGTGAGTAAACAGCTGAGACGTATAAACATACGCATGGGAGAGAGAGAGAGTTAGATAGAGAAATAAAGGGAGATGGGGAGAGGAACAAAGATAGATTAAAGAGGAAATGTGCAAGGGTGGACATAAAAAAGGTAGGATAAAAGAAACTGAAGAGGTCGATTTGACAGGAGCTGGAGAGAAAGGCTTTTTATTTGATTTAATTTGTTAAGCTATGTTATCAACATCATACACTTTCATCTATTAATGGTTTAACATATTTTCAGATATACAACAATAATACGTACCCAAACAAAACGTTGCAAATACCAGTAACAAACATCCCAGACAAGAAGACAAACTTTGGACCTATTCTCGGTAACTGCAAGAAAAACATTTAGAAAAGAGTTGATGAAAAATGTTGATGAAAAATGTGTCCATAATAACTGTACAATGACAATTTGAAAAAAGTGGCATGCAGATATTTACATATTTACTTTTATAACCAATATATCTTAAATGCTGTTGCAGTAATTTACATAACATGATTTTATATTATTTAAATTATTAAAAATAAATGGTACAAAAACTATAGTACAAACTACATTAATTTCACAGAGACAAATAAAACTTACCAACATGCCAATAATGGGGCATCCAAGAAACATAACTAAAGCATAAATGCCAAACACAAAGCCAGAGACTGTATCACTCATCCCTTTTTCATTAGCCTAGAAATGTCAACGGTAAAATTAGAACTTCAAACATGTGATTATTAAACATGATGCCATACTAAATATAAACTTGCAGTAGGAATATTTAATTTGAGTAGCAATTCAAGGTACTAAGAATAGTACTTAATATAACAGAAATCATATTTGACCAGAGGGCAAGCATATCATTGTAACATGACATATGACATATATTTGCTAGAGAATTGGTAATTTCATAGAAAAAAATGGTTACCCAATACCATCATGCCAGTTATCAATTTTAATAGACACATACTTGCAACTGTTCAGACAAATTAATACACCAAATCACACAATCACACCATGCAACTTGATCCATCAAAAAGTACAATTACTTGTAAATACTCAATATTAATGTTATACTTACTGTTTTGGGAAAAAAGGGTGCAATAATTGACATTGAAAGATATGCTGTGAAGTCAACAACCGCCAAGCTGAGCAATGTAAGTTTAGCAGTTCTGTCCATAGAGAAGAACGATGTGTCTCTATTATCATCATCATCATCCCCATCTTCTGCTATTTCCTGCTTAACTTCCTGTGAACTTGCAGTAATCCTCTCTGCACTATGAATAATATCTGCATGACTGGCACTTGTGCTAGCCTGTTCAACTGTAGAAGGCAATGGTGACTTGGGGGTAGTTGCATGACGAGAGCAATGTTTCGCTGGATTGCTTTGCCTTTGTAGCAAGACCTGTTATTAAACAAATAATTTTAATTGTTTGCATATCCATCTATAGTAACATGCTGCATATATATGCCATGACAGTTACAAACGATTTACCAGTTATTTATTTATAAAAATAATATTGTGCCATATTGATCCTCTGAACACAATAGCCCTGTATGCAATATGATAAAATTTGTAGAAAAAAAATAAACAAAATCAGAAATGACAAAAAGACAAATTTTTGTGTATGTTTTACATGAGTACTACTAATTAAGGCATCTATATGAAGCTAAACTAACACTAAAAATTGGTTAATTATGGATCTATAACATATATTGCCACACTGCATGCAATATGCTAGCATACAACTGACTGAGTGACAAAATGGAAGGCTTTAAATTGTATTACAAATTTTATGACAAATTGGAAGGTTTTATTTGGCTAATGCTCCATTATAGGATCGAGTGTTCCCAACTTTGATATCATTACCCTAACCCTAACCCTAACCTAACCTATAACATAACCCTAACCATTAATGACATTAAAGGATTTACTCCTAATGGATCGAGTATCACCCTTTAATTACATTAAAATTATTAATTACCTTTACTGGTTTAGGTATTTTCTTCTTATCAAGAATTGGTGGAGGATGATATTGCCCTCTAACTTGATGTTGATTATTGCTAGTTCCCAGGGTGCTGAATCTGAGCAAAATCGATCAGAAACAAATTATAATGCTGTCATATATCCCTATAGCTATAACCATGCTATAACCATCTGAAATAAAATCCTGCAACACACATCCAATTAGTTACCATACCAGGGTGCGAAATTAACGGGAGTCCGGAGTCAAATACTCTCTGATTTACTGTCGGACTCCCTGATTTGACATATGCAGGAGTCCGTGTGACAGACCCCCTAAAAATTCTGCCATACTAACTATATAGTTCGTTCGGAGCACGGCCTCACAGAATTACCATCTTTTTTCAGGTAATGCCCAAAGAAAATTTGGCAGACGTGCAACTGCATGAATCTTAAAAATAAGCACATGCGTTATTGTTAATATCTTCTAAATTTTAAACCTCAGACTGCGGACTCCCTCATTTTGCCGCGGACTCCCTCTTTTTGAGGGTAGGGAGTCCGTTGGACTCCTGTGTTCATATGTTAATTTCTAATTTTCTACACCTGCCATACATATAATAACCTTCTAATATTATATAGCAATTACTTCCATTTGCATATATTTTACCTCAAGTAACATTTTACCTCAGAACTCAAGTAATCCAGTACACATCTTTTAAGGTGACAAGTCCTAGAATAGCACAACTCAGAAAACTGCTGGGCATATTATATATATATATATAATTAACACTTGAACTAATTCAATTAAATTTTCAGTAATAAACTTAAAATTTATGCTCTGTTTTGTACAACACATATTTCTGTTAAGACTTGTTCCTCAAGATTTCACCATTGAAAACAACCAGAGCCCCATCTATAACCAGTATATAACACGTACAGCATGTCATGATCCAAGTGCTAAGTAACATGGACACCTGGCCTATATATTTAAAATACGACAAAGATAAAACACATCTATAGATAGAATAGGAACACTTAACCACTGGGGTAATCCTAATACAGTTCGATCAAGTGGCCATTTGTTTGGTCAGATCAACTAAACTTGATGAACCGGATTGAATGAGGTGCTAACCCTCATAACCCTGCTGGTGAGCTGGGCTCAAATGTAATCCAATTTGGTGACATGCCACTTGACCAGCCAGTCATCCTTGTTGGTAGTTATAAACCATCTTATAATAGGTCACATGCAATGACACCTGACCTGCTGGAGCCGAGTTTGCGTTTGTTTGGGCAGGTCAGGCTAAGTGAGATATCAGATTAAGTGATCCAGATCAGATATGGGACCATCACAAACAAACAGCCAGGCCATTATACTCCCAAACCCAGCAATGCTGAGAGGGTCTATGTCCCCCAGGGTACTGCCGGAACGTACCCTGGTACCATATCTAATATGCCGGACCGTACCTCGCCTACTCCACTAACGAGTCTAGGGAGTCACCCCCACACCTACTCCCTCACTCTAACCCTAACCCTAACCATATCAAATAGTTACCAGGGTACGTTCCGGTATACCAGACCGTACCCAGAGTACGTTCCGGCAGTAACCTGGGGGACATAGACCCTATGAGCCCCAGCAACTGAGCAAGACAACTCAAGTCGTATATATACATACTTACTTAAAAGGATTTTCTGTAGTATGAACCATGACTGCAATCTACCAGTAGTATCTTGCTATAGATACTCTTTATCAATGGAAACTTTAAAACAAAAAATGTTATTAATGAACTATATACGTGACAATTAAATGCTACATTTTATCATAAACATATATATACTATACAACCTATGACAGTTACTGCAGTGTCTGTAAAGCAAAAGATTATGCACTCGACATTTTTACAATGTCTACCACATGGCAGTACTTCCACAACACTGAGGACCGGGCTAGAAACAGGATAAACCGCAGTGTACAGAAACAAAATTATGAAGCATGCCAAGGTGGTACGGGGTTGACTGTGCATGCTCAGTTTAGCTTGTCACTCAGCAGACAGCTAAGTACTTTTATGGGACCTAACTAAAGCCCGCCGCACACGCTGTGTTTTGTGCTGCGCCATCGGCCACGCGTGGCTGATGGCGCAGCACAAAACACAGCGTGTGCGCATGCAAACGCATCGATTTCTTGCGTGTGGAAAATATCACACGTGTTTGATATTTTCTTCCACGTGTGGCAGATTGCACAGCGTGTGCGGAGTGGCTGTGTCAAGTTCCACACCGGCTCTATGTAACCGACCAATAGCAGCAGGTCAAGCGAGTCACGTGATCTTAACTTGCGGTTGCAGCGCGGTTGCACTGCGGTACACGCACGTACACGCGGGTACATGCACGTACACGCGGGTACACGCACGTACACGCGGGTACACGCACGTACACGCGGTACACGCACGTGCACGCGGGTACACGCACGTATGCGCATGCAAACGCATACGATTTCTTGCGTGTGGAAAATATGCATCACGTCTTTGATATTTTTCTTCCACGTGTGGGCAGATTGCACAGCGTGTGCGGAGTGGCTGTGTCAGTTTCCACGACCGCTTCTATGTAACCGACCAAATAGCAGCATGTCAAGCGAGTCCATGATCTTAACATTGCGGTTGCATCCCGGCGCGGTTGCATCTGCGGTACACCACGTACACGGCTGGGTACGCACGTGCACGCGGTACACCACGGCCTCGCGCGTGCACGGCGGGTACACGCACGCGTCACGCACGTACAGAAGCACGTACACGCACGTACACGCACGTACCACAGCACGGTACCAAGCAGCGTACGACGCACGATTCAACGCCCGGTGTCCCGCACGTACAACGCGGATACACGCACGTACACGCGGGTTAACAACGCAAGGTACACACAGATACACGCACGTAACATGCGGGTACACGCACAGTACACGCATGTAACACACGTACAACAGGGCGACGGTAGCACGGCGGGTACATCCGCGGATACACGCACGTAACAGCCGCACGTACACGGTGGGAGTACATCGCGGATACACGAGGGTACCACGCGGATAACCAACGCACGTCCCGGGTACACGCACGTACACACAGATACACGCAGCTCCAGATTACATGCACGGCGGGGTACAGGAGACGCATGTGCACGTAGCGGGTACACGCACAACGTACACGGGTACACCGGAGATACACGCACGACAAGTCGGGTAACAAGCAACGTACACGCGGCGGTACACCACGTACACACACCCAGATACACGCACGTACACAGACAGAATACACCACGTATATGCGGGTACAGCACGTACAGCAGGCTCACGTGGGAGATACAAACGCACGTACACGCGGGTACACGCCAATGTAACCGGCCAGTGCAAACCGCGCCTGCAACCGGCAGTTAAGAATCAATTCGTGTATCGTTGACTGGGCTGGTATTGGTCGGTACATAGAGACCGGTGTGGAACTTGACCACAGCCATCCGCAACAACGCTGTGCAATCTGCCACACGTGAAGAAATATCAAACACACGTGTGATATTTTCAGACGCAAGAAATCGGATAGCGTTTCCATGCGCACACGCTTGTGTTTTGTGCTGCGCCATCACCAGCGCGTGGCCGATGGCGGGCAAGCACAAAACAGAGCGTGTGCGGGCGGCCTATAGTTAGGATCCGATAAAAGATACTTAGCTGTCTGCTGAGTGACAAGCTAAACTGAGGCATCACAGTCAACCCGCGTACCACCTTGGGCATCCTTTCATAATTTTGTTTCTGTACACTGCGGTTTTCACTGTTTTACCCCGTCTCAGTGTTGTGGAAGTACTGCATGTGGTAGACATTGTAAAAATCTGCGAGTGGCATAATCTTGTTGCTTTAAGACAGACATGAGTAAACTGTCATAGGTTTGCTATAGTATACATATAATGTTTATGATAATACATAGCATGGTTTAATTGTCCCTGTATATAGTTCATTAATAACATTTTTTGTTTTAAAGTTTCCATTGATAAATGAGTAATCTTAAGCAAAGATACTACTGGTAGATTGGCAGTCATCGGTTCATTACTAACAGAAAATCCTTTTAAGTAAGTATGTATATATACGACTTGAGTTGTCTTGCATCAGTTGCTGGGGCTCCATAGGGTCTATGTCCCGCAGGTTACTGCCGGAACGTACCTCTGGGTACGGTCTGGTATACCGGAACGTACCCATGGTAACTATTTGATATGGTTAGGGTTAGGGTTTAGCAGTCGAGGGAGTAGGTGTGGGGGTGACTCCCTAGACTCGTTAGTGGAGTAGGCGAGGTACCGGTCCGGCATATTATTATTAGATATGGTACCTAAGGGTACGTTCCGGCAGTACTCCTGGGGACATAGACGCCTCTCAGGCCGTTGGCTGGGCTCCTGGGAGTATAATGGACTGGCTTGTTTGTTTGTGATGGTCCCATATCTGATCTGGATCAACTTAATCTGATATCTCACTTAGCCTGATCTGGCCCAAATCAAACGCAACTCGGCTCCAGCAAGTCAGGTGTATTGCATGTGACGCTATTAATAAAGATGGTTTTTAACTAAACCAACAAGGATGACTGGCTGGTCAAGTGGCAATGTCACCAAATTGGATTACATTTGAGCCCCAAGCTCACCAGCAGGGTTATTGAGGGTTAGCACCTATCATTCAATCCGTGTTCATTCAAGTTTGAGTTGATCTGACCAATAAACAAATGGCATCTTTGATCGAAACTGTATTAGGATTACGGCCCAGTGGTTAAGGGTTCACTATTCTATTATTAGAATGTTGTTTTTTAATCTTTGTCGTATTTTAAATATATAGGCCAGGTGTCCATGTTACTTAGCACTTGGATCATGACATGCTGTACGTGTATATTAACTGGTTATAGATGGGGCTCTGGTTGTTTTTCAATGGTGAAATCCTGAGAACAAGTCTAACCAAAATATGTGTTGTACAAGAAACAGAGCATAAATTTCTAAGTTTATTACTGAAAATTAATTGAATTAGTTCAAGTGGTTAATTATATATATATAATAATATGCGCCAGCAGGTTATTCTGCAGTTGTGCTATTCTATGGACTTGTCCACCTTAAACCGATGTGTACTGGAATTACTTGAGTTCTGAGGTAAAAATGTGTACTTGAGGTAATATATGCAATGGAAGTTAATTGGCTATATAAATAGTTAGACAGGTTATTATATGTATGGCAGGTAGACAAATTAGAAATTAACCAGTAGAAACACAGGAGCCAACGACCCCTGACCCTAAAAAAGAGGGATCCGCGGCGAAAATGAGGGAGTCCGCAGTCACTGAGGTTTAAAATTTAGAAGATATGTAACAATAACGCATGTGAGCTTATTTTTTAAGATTAATGCAGTTGGCACCGTCTGCCAAAATTTTCTTTGGGCATTACCTGAAAAAAGATGGTAATTCTGTGCGGGCCGTGCATTCGCGAACGAACTATATAGTAGTATGGGGCAGAATTTTTAGGGGTCTGTCACCAGGACTCCTGCATATGTCAAATCAGGGAGTCCGACAGTAATCAAGAGAGTATTTGACTCCGGACTCGCTCCCGTTAATTTCGCAACCCATGGTATGGTAAAACTATATTGGATGTGTGTTGCGGATTTTATTTCAGATGTTGCATGGCGTTATAAGCTATAGATATATGACAGCATTATATATTTTTCTGATCTGATTTTGCTCAGAATTCAGCACGGCTGGGAACTAGCAATCCTCAACATACAAGTTATAGGGCATTCATCCTCCCACAATTTCTTGATAAGAAGAAAATACTAAACCAGATTAAAGGTAATTTAATGAATTTTAATGTCAATTAAAGGGTGATACTCGATCCATTTAGGAGGTAAGATCCTTTAATGTCATGTAATGGTTAGGGTTATGTTATAGGTTAGGTTTAGGTTAGGGTTAGGGTAATGATATCAAGTTTGGGGAACACTCGATCCTATGAAATGGAGCATTAGCCAAAATAAAACTTCCAATTTGTCATAAAAATTTGTAATACAATTTTAAAGCCTTCCATTTTTGTCACTCAGTCATTGTATGCTAGCATATTGCATGCAGTGTGGCAATATATGTTATAGATTCATAATTACCATTTTTAGTGTTAGTTTAGCTTCATAATAGGATGCCTTAATTACGTAGTACTCAATGTAAAACAACACAAAAATTGTCTTTTTGTCATTTCTGATTTTGTTTATTTTTTTTTCTACAAATTTATCATATTGCATCAGCAGGGCTATTGTGTTCAGACGGATCCAAATGCACAATATTATTTTTTATAAATAAATAACTGGTAAAGTTCGTTTGTAACTGTCATGGCATATATATGCAGCATTTACTATAGATGGATATCAAACAATTAAAATTATTTGTTAAAACAGGTCAGTTGCTAGCAACAGGCAAGAGCATCAGCGAAACACTTGCTTCTCGTCTGGCAAACTACCCCAAGTCACCACTCGCCTTCTACAGTTGAAGCAGGCTAGCACAAGTGCCAGTCATGCAGATATTATTCATAGTGCAGAGAGGATTACTGCAAAGTTCAGCAAGGAAGTTTAAGCAGGAAAAATAGCAGGAAGATGGGGATGGATGAATGATGATAATAGAGACACATCCGTTCCTTCTCTATGGACAGAACTGCTAAACTTACATTGCTCAGCTTGGCGGTTTGTTTGACTTCAGCATGCTTAATCTTGTTCCAATGTTCATTATTGCACCTTTTTCCAAAACAGTAAGTATAACATTAATATTGAGTATCTTACAGAGTAAATTGTACTTTTTGATCGGATCCAAGTTGCATGGTGACTTGTGTGAGTTTGGTGTATTAATTTTGTCTGAGCAGTTGCAAGTAATGTGTCTATTTAAATGTGGATAACTGGCATGATGGTATTGGTAAACCCATTTTTTCTATGAATTACCAATTCTCTAGCAAATAATGTCATATGCATGTACAGCAATGATATCTTGCCCCTCTGGTAATATGGATTTCTGTTATATTAAGTACTATTCTTAGTAGCCTTGAATTGCTACTCAGGAGGTTAAAATATTCCTTACTGCAAGTTTATATTAGTAATGGCATCATGTTTAAATAATCACATGTTCTGAATTCTAAATTTTACCAGTTGACAATTTCTAGACTAAGAAAAGGGATGAGTGATACAGTCCTGGCTTTGTGTTTGGCATTTATGCTTAGTTATGTTTCTGACTGCCCCATTATTGCAATGTTGGTAAATTTTTTTGTCTCTGTGGAAAATTAATGTAGTTTGTACTCATAGTTTTTGTAAACCATTTATTTTTTATAAATTTAAATAATAATAAAATCATGTTATGTAAAATTACTGCAACAGCATTTAAGAAATATATTGGTTATAAAAGTAAATATGTAAATATCTGCATGCACTTTTTTCAAACTTGTCATTGTACAAGTTATTATGGACACATTTTTTTCATCAACAATTTTTGCATCAACATTTTTCTAAAATGTTTTTTTCTTGGCAGTTACCGAGAATAGGTCCAAAGTTTGTTTCTTGTCTGGATGTTTGTTACTGGTATTGTGCAACGTTTTGTTTGGGTACGTTTATTTATTGTTGTATATCTGAAAATATGTTAAAACCATTTGAATAGATGAAAGCTGTATGATGTTGAGTAACATAGCTTAAGCAAATTAAATCAAATAAAAAGCCTTTCTCTGTCAGCTCCTGTCAAATCGACCTCTTCAGTTTCTTTTATCCTACTTTTTATGTCCACCCTTGCACATTTCCTCTTAATTATCTTTGTGACCTCTGCACATCTGCCCTTTATTTCTCTATCTAACTTCGTCTCTCTTCCCCCATGCGTAATGTTAAACGTCTCAGCTGTTTACTCACAATTCCGCTGTCCCACTATGTTCATTCGTCTGCGGGGTTTTCCATCGTTCCTTTTTATGCTATTCTGTGTTTGTTAGTTTCAGTCAGCTTTACATCTTACTCTCGCACCCATCTCCTGCTCACAATCTTCCTCTCGCGGCGATCTTCGCTTTTGCCATCTCTCTCCTTCTCTTTCTCTCTTTCTCTAAAAGCTGGGTTTACACTATGGAGAAAGTTGCCCCGCATTGATAAGATTTTTCAACGATTCTGTCAACCTTTCTATTAGATGTTCAAAGTTTTTTGTGTTTATCGACCGCAGAGTCCCAAACGTTCAACATTTGACCCAACAAGTGGACATGCGGGGTGCCCAAGGGTACAATCTGTTTGCATGTATTAATTCGCGCTCAGTGTGGCGGGCCAATAGCAAAAGCGTGCTCTCCCCGCCCTAGGGTGGAGAGCTGTTATCAGATGGTGGCTGAGTGGCAAAAAACTTGATCAAACTCGCATAACCAAAAGTAGAGAAAATAGAACATAGTTCTAATTTCTTAACTAGCTCCTATCAGCTTGCTGAGCATCCAAATTTTACGTGTACACTGCTGACTTTTGGTCGATTAAGTTGTAAGCTGATGAACTCGTCACTTTTCAGCAAAACCGTTGATAGGTGTAAACGCCGCATTTAAGTATGCTCACTTAAAAATTGTCGCGACAAACAAGATGGCCTACTAACATGCTTGTATATGTATAGTGTTTGTGGTCTGGCCCACCACTAGTACTGCTTCTGCATCAGAAATACTGTGTTTTTTAGCTCACTGACATAGTCAGATGCAGCGTAGAATCGCATGAGGGGCGTCCGTGCGTCCAACAGTTGGGAAAATCTTTTGTAAGTTGCGTACGGTCAACGATATTCGCGACGTCGGGGGGATCGTCAAAACGAATGGGATGCATTGAAGGCTGGGGTCAAAGTTGCAAAGGTCAACAGCTGTAAAAGAAAGGGGAACATTCCCTCCTTAACTCAAGTATAGGGCGGAAATCTGCAGAATTGCGGCCAAATCTAAACGGCTCGAACCTAGGCTCGTGATAGTCAGTGTATACGATCATGGTAGAAAGCCATCACTTGTGCTGAAATTCGGAGGTCACAGGTCAACGTCAATGGCGCACACACGAGCAGATTTTAACATTTCTGAGAACATGGTCTGACGGAGCAATTGAAAAACTCTTTTGTTTCCAGAGGTGACCTAGCATTTTTATGGGCTTTACTTGAGAAGGACGCGCATCGAACATGTACTTTCCTCTCGACATGAAAGAGTAAGTGTCGGCATAACCTTTTGACCTCAAGAGGCGGGTGTAAACATGGATAAATTTGTTTACTGTTAGAACAGAAATTTGACTGCCGGGTTTGCTGTAGAATCTCTACATGCTGGATGTATGAGCTAGCAAATGTCACACTGACAATTTCAAAAGCTACAATTTGGTTGAAAGGAAGTTTATGCTCCTTAAATCGTATAATTTCTATGCATTCTGTACTGTCAGTGTTGTTACATGCTAAGCGTCATGCCACGTCACGTGCATGCTGGTGGTGGTACTGTGAGTTTTTTGGCCTGCGTTAATTAGTTCAGGTGACAGCTCTCTATTTCAGTCTGTAGGCTTGCGTAGAAAATGGATGAGTGCTTACCTACTTCTTGTCTTGCGAATAGTTGTTTGCTAACTAGTA